CCACAGATACATCTTTAGTAGAGGTCTGAATTTCTCATCACATATACTGTACCTTTGTTCTTTGCAAATTTGAAACGAGACATTTTCAGCTCTGATTTTAAAATCAGATTGGGCCATTTTTCAGCATCTCTCCCAACATTTCTCCAATTATAATACTGCCGAAAAACCATAACAAAATATAGCGGTTTGTACTCCAAGAATGAGAAAATGCAGAATATTTTATCTCAGGATATCTCCCACCACTACCATTTCCAAACAGAAAAATGCAGTACTGAAATACATTTTGCTCTGTTTATCTCTAGGTCACAACAAGATCTTCTTTAAAAATTTCTATTACTGCATTGTACAGTAAACTAAGCATTTCCATAAATGAAACTCAAGTTATTCGATATTTATTGACAAGATAAATATTTTGGCAGGGGAGGAAAAATGTATTATTTGCACTGAAAATAACATCAAGTCCTTAAGTGAAATGTCGATGTCTAAGATTTTAATAGCATGGAACAATCTTCGTTTTCAATGGCCGCAATGCCCTGCCTGTTTACCAGGGAGTCTTGGCAGTCAAACCCGGTGCAGCTTATTTACTAAATATGAAAGAAAAGACACGTATAGGGCTGTCTCTTGTTTTCTGTCTTTGGAAAATTTAAAATTCCCGAAGTGGAGGATATCAGAGTAACATAGTAGAGTCCAAGCAGCCTCAGAAAATTTTGATGATGGTTATTATATCCAGCAATAAGTCAAAAATATGTATTTTGCTTCCAGCAGGCACCATGCAATGGTAGGGAATAAAAGAGTAAATGTTCAAACGACAGACCATAGCAATAGTCATTTCCCCCCCCATTATGTACCGTATTTTTCCGTGTATAAGACTATACTTTTGGCTAAAATCTTTAGGCTAAAAAATGAGGGTCGTCTTATACATGGAAGTGAGCTGAGAACAAAAACAAGTGGCGGGAAAAACAGGGATCAAAGCGATCCTGCAGAGCTTTGATCCCTTTCCCCCCCTACACTTGCTAAGCCCCACTTAGATTTCTTAATTTTAGATTAGAAAAGTGTGTGGGGGATCTTATACATGGGAGCGTCTTATACATGGAAAAATATGGTATATTTTTTTAAAGCCTAACAAGGTGAGATCGGTGAGACAGCCGAAGACTTTGTTCAATAACAGTTTGTACTTTTTTGAGACACCTATGAGAAATTCAGCATGGTACAGTATTTTTTTTTCCTACTGAAAAAAATATCAGCAACTGTTTGGCACAAACATGCCAAAACAACAATGCCCCAGGTACAAGTTGAAGGCCCTTGAAGGGCTCCTGCAAGCTAATTTTATTTATTTAAATTTTAGTTTGCCTATTTGTTTTTAAGTAATGTGTAAAATGGAAGTTAAAGATGTTATAAAAAGAGTGTGTTTACATTGTCAGATGATGGGATTACCATGATATGGAGGTCTTTGGCAAAATACGTGGAGTGTATGAATCTGATATGCTGAATTCGTGAAGGCTTTCACGGCAGGGATCTAATGGTTGTTGTGGGTTTTTCGGGCTCTTTGGCCATGTTCTGAAGGTTGTTCTTCCTGACGTTTCGCCAGTCTCTGTGGCCGGCATCTTCAGAGGACAGCAACCGGTATGAATCTGAGCTGCAGAAGGAAATTGGTATGCTGGAACACTTTTAGAAGATGAGCTTTTCCTGAGTTGAGGAAGTGAACTGCAGCAGCATCCATTAGAAAAATAGATGAAGAAAGGGTTAGAAACAGAAAAATATGTGCAGACATAATTTTGCTATTTCTGTTCTAATCAAAGGCATTGGCATGCGAGAAGTTATATTAACCAACGGATGTCCTGTAAATGAAAAAAAGTGTATTGTGCGTATTGAAGAGTGCAAAGGGCCACCAGATTGTGGTTGTAAGTACCAAATAAGTTTGTATTTGCTTCAATTAGGTTGTCTGTTCAACAATTCACGATCTTTGATTGTATTCCTGTCTTGAGCAGGGGGTTGGACTTGATGGCCTTGTAGGCCCTTTCCAACTTCACTTTTCTGTGATTCTATGATAATTTGGGTCAGCTAAAACGGGCATTTTCCTGTCCTCTTTCCTAGATAACGAGATACCTTCAGTAGTTTTAAATATTAGTCTATTAGCAAATAACCTTATATTTATTCCAGTTAAAATGATATTTTTCAGGGTTTGTGCTTGCTATTGGAATAATCCTGATATTATGAAGCATAATATAATAGAATTTTATTTAGTTCCAGTAAAGCGTAAGTGGGAAAACTCTCTTGCAGGGGGCAAGCCTCTTGCTGAAACTCTTGAAAGCGTGAAGATGCCTTGTATTTTTGTCAGAGAATCGAATCGATTTCAGTATACTTGGAAAATGTTAATTCCAGACCAGGTGACTACTTCATTCTGTTTTTATTTGTTTGTTTGTTTGTTTACAGAAATTATTAACTACGCAATTACCAATGGTTTCTGAATGGCGCGTTTTATGCTGTTTTGTGAATATTTGGCCTGATGAGGTTCTCTATAGACCTCATTTCTATGCCAAAGGAGGTTAACTATCTTAATCTTTTATTTCTAATGTCTTCCTCGTTAAATCCTGATTTTCCTTAGTGCTCACTATTTGCAACTTACATTATCTTTGACTCTGGACAAGTCAGATCAATCACGGAGATGTACAAAACAATGCACCTATTCGCAGAAAGAGATTGTCATCTAAATTACAGAAGCAGCTACCTGAAGGACAAAGTATAGAAATCAAAAAGCATAAAAAACCTGAATTATTCAATTCTTTATTCAGTGCCTCCTTGCTAAACCTCTGTATTTTCTTCTGCTTGACACTAAATGTATGGGCTCAATGCTGAGAGAACCCTGCCCCTTTTCCTTAATTTTAGTCATAGATATTCCTGTTCTAGGACCCTGGAGGTCATGGAAAGAGAGGAAACGATAGATTGTAGTACGCTAAGTCCTCCTGGGAAACCTTGGCCGAAACAGCTTGCTAAATGTTGGAGTTATTCGTTACATCCACAATATTTCAGAATACAAGATCTCCTTTGAGTGTTTATGGGGGAGAAAGGAGCATGAGAAAGGTACCGTAGTAGATTTGTGAGTGCAGAATCCCCTGGAAGAATTGTGTATTTTGGAATGGCACCACGCATAATAACTCTGGCATTTTTGAGAATGGCTTTCCCTTTAGTTTCTTCTTTTGACTGTCAAGTGCTTCCTCTCCCCCTTTGATTCGTTTTTTTATTTATAAAAGAACCATTGGTTTCAAACAGAGGTTCCTAGCCCCGCTGGCTTGTCTCGTAATATCATTTATTTGTATTATTGAAATAAACTTAGAATAAGAGCAATAGAACTGCAGAGCTTGAAGAGGGAGTTACGGATCATTGAGCCCAGACCCTCTCAAGGAGGCACAGTGGAGAATCGAACTTCCAACCTGCAGCCAGAGACCTTAACCACTGAGCATATCCAGTAGATCTTTTCAAAGTAAGCTTTGAAGCTAAAGCTTACTTTGAAACCAGACTTTCTTGAGAACTTTAATTGCATGGGAAATGGATACTTGATGCAAAAAGCAGATGAGATCTAGCACCACCACCCCGTTTCCAAATTGTCAGAAGATTTTAGCACAGTGCCTACTAAATTATGAGTTAATTCAACTTTGTCTTTCTTGTCGCCTTTGAATTGATAGCAATCACTCATTATTCCTAACGATTCAGCTGTTCTGGAAGTGCACAGGGATACTCACCCAGTTGCTTTCGAGTGTGATACGACGGAAGATGAAGAGTTGATTGCATCTGTAAAATATACAGTATATTCAACCGATGGTAAGTTTATGGTAGTCTTTAAAATATTTAGAGAGATACATTAGGCCAACTTTTTGGAGAATTTGTTGAGTTTCTATCTGGACGGCTTATGGCAAAATGTGTACGTAAAACAAAGAAGAAAAAAGGGAAAACCCTTTTTTAATATCACACCTGTATCATAAACACAAATCCCAAGTGACAGATAATCTCTCCTCTTTATCACAATAATACACCCACAACAAGACACACTAATCATCCATCTCCAGAAAAGGACAAAAGCCTATCTCACAGCCATAAATACTCCACTCCCAAGTCAACTACACCAGAGCACAGAGTGCTGTGCTCTGAAGATGCCGGCCACAGAGACTGGCGAAACGTTAGGAAGAACAACCTTCAGAACACGGCCAAAGAGCCCGAAAAATCCACAACCATTACCTTATAATCTTTATTAACCAACATATTTATTGGAGGAGAGCCAACTTTTCACAGAAGACCTGTATTAACAATCACATATGCATAAAACTGTTCACATAAGGGAACGTAACAGTTGTTAAGTCGGGCCGACTCTTCATTGTACTTCTGATTGGGAGCAAAGCAAATAAACCCCCGAACCTACTCTGCGGCCACTCACACACTGCACAGGCTCAGAGGTAACCTTGCTAGTCTTGGACGCCCAAACAAGGCTCCGGCGCAGGCAGGGGAAAAGAGGCACCGGGCAAAGTCGAAGGAGGCAGCCTCCCCTCCCCCAAGGGTCATAAGTTCAAGTCTGGGGAGTGTGGGAGTTGGAGTCCCCAAAAGGGACTTTGAACACACACAGTCCGGGCACTCTCCTTCCCCATCAATGCGCTCAGGCTCTGCTTCCTCCTGCCTGGCTCGGGGGGTGGCGCTCGGCTTGCGCTGCCGTTCTGGGCTCCATGTGGGCTGGGCGAGCATGGGGGATCACCAAGCAGCTGCCGCCATGGCAAGAGGAGGCGAGGACTGCGCTCCAGCGCCGGCAGCAGATAACGAGGTGTGGGTGGGTAGGGGCTGGGAAAGACAGGGGGAGGGGAGTTCTTCCACCTCTCCCCCTCCCATCCAAAATTGTCACTTAAAATATACAACAGCCGGACATTTTAAAGGTTTTTGTGATCTTAAATGCCAAGAAGGCTCATATGGGGAGATGCAGTCCTTCTGTTGGCCTGGACCTAAGCTGCAGAGCTGTAGAATATCCCATTCGTTGGAATAAATTGCTTGACTGCCCAAATTTATGTTGATAGAAATTAGAATCGGGGAGTGCCTCACTCTGCTCTCTGGTATGGTTATTAACTAAACTGGCTGCTGTTTAAGAACTGTATTCTGTGTTACCTCTGCTCATAGTCTGAGGAAGTCTTTTCAAGGGCAAGAATAAACAAATATAACAAATATGTTGTTGTTTAGTTGTTAAGTTGGGTCGACTCTTCATGACCCCACGGAGCAGAGCATGCCAGGCCCTCCTGTCTTCCACTGCCTCCCGGAGTTGGGTCAAAGTCATGTTGGTCGCTTCGATGACACCATCCACCCATCTCGTCCTCTATCATTCCCTTCCCCTCTTGCCTTTGCACTTTCCCAAAATCAGGGTCATTTCCAGGGAGTCTTCTCATGAGATGGCCAAAGTATTAGAGCCTCAGCTTCAGGATCTGTCCTTCCAGGGAGCACTCAGGCTTGATTTCCTTCTGAACGGATAGGTTTGTTCTCCTTGCAGTCCAGGGGACTCTCGAGAGCCTCCTCCAACACCACAATTCGAAAGCATCAATTCTTCGACAGTCAGCCTTCTTTATGGTCCAGCTCTCACTTGCATACAGCACTACAGGAAAAACCATACATTTGACTATGTGGACTTTGGTTGGCAAGATGATGTCTCTGCTTTTTAAGATGCTCTCTAGGTTTGTCATTGCTTTCCTCCCAAGAAGCAGGCATCTTTTAATTTTGTGGCTGCTGTCACCATCTGCATTGATCATGGAGCCCAAGAAAGTAAAATCTGTCACTACCTTCATATTTTCCCCTTCTATTTGCCGGACGTGATGGGACCGGTGGCCATGATCTTAGCTTTTTTGATGTTGAGCTTCAGACCACTTTTGGCGCTCTCCTCTTTCACCCTCATTAAGAGGTTTTTTAGTTCCTCCTCACTTTCTGCCATCAGAGTGGTACTGTCTGCATATCGGAGGTTGTTGATATTTCTTTCGGCATTCTTAATTCCGTTTTGGGAGTCCTCCAGTCCTGCCTTTCGCATGATGTATTCTGCATATACGTTAAATAGGCAGGGAGACAATATACAGGCTTGTCATACTCATTTCCCAAATTTGAACCAATCAGTTGTTCCATATCCAGTTCTAACTGTTGCTTCCTGTCCTACACAACCCCGTAGAACACATAAAGAAGACTAAAGTAACATCAATTACAAACGATAACATACAGGTTGCGAAAAAGCGACGTATGTTCCTGCCATAGAATTCTGTAAACAATTCTTGTCTTGTTCCTAGTGTTGGTTTCCTTTACATCTCTCAGGACAAACACCCTCCATAGTGAGTATCGGGTGGACAGAGTAGATATTCTTGGGAAGGGGAGCTCCAACGAGAATGAGGTCCCAAACCATTCAAGGCTTTAGAAGTCATAATTCTAAGATGCCATCACTTTATAATATTACCAGCTTAAGCCAGGGTCTGAGGAAACTGTGCTAAATAAATAAGAACGATCCCCAGTTAGAGCAAGAGATGCTTAATTGTGATGTATTGAGCCATGGGCAAGGATATGTAGACCCCAACGCCAGTTATTTATTTTTTCATTTATCTAAACCTATTTTAAAGACATATTCATTTTTGTGCTGTTTTGAAGTTGCTATGATGTGTCCAGTAAGTTAACCTGCTTTTAGCTTACAAAGTCATTAAATTCTTTTATGTAAACGTCCTGAAGGGTTAACGCGTATTATCAAACCTATGGTTTGACCCAGGTACTATGTTGTGGAAGTATTACGCGTGTAGTGTGTCATTTCTTTTGATGCCATACGTTTAATTATTCTGGTGTTATTGCCATGTTATCCCCCCCCCCAAATTATACACTCAGGAATACTCTCAGATCAGTTTTACTGAGGATTATAGTAGGGAACTGATCTTGTACTTCTTTATGCTTTTTATTCATAATGTTTTATTCATAATGTTTAATATTCTGCCTCTCAGAAGATTTTTTATAACAGTCATAAATGTTCTGCTTCTCTTCAGAATTGGAAACGAGGCGGTCTCGAAAGCCAAGCGCAAATGCAGTACTGGTGTTTGTCCTTGTAACTGGAATTATTATTTGCGTTGGTGTGCTCTTCGCAATAATCTTCGTACTTTTTAATTGGTGAGTAAATGGGGGCTAGGTGTGTAGTTATTAAGAACTGCAATCCACTTGCTTTTCCTGTTGTATGCCATGATAATTGTATTTCTCGTCAGGTTAACGTGTGGGATGATGTGTGAATTACAGAAGGTGTCTTTCAGGTACAAATATAAAACCAAAGGTGCATATTTAGAACTTCAAAGTTACAACATATAAATAAATAGCTACTTGAATTACTTTCCTAGGATAACTAATTCCTTTTCAGTAACTTAAGGCATTATTTCATTGCATTACTCTTTCCAGGAAGGCTTCTTTGTTTGTTTGCTCCATCAATAGCAAAACCAGATATTAAACAAAAGCACAAAGCATTGTAATGTCTTCGTTTCAGATTTTGTGGGTACAATTTATTTTTTTCAGCCACACGGAACTTAGTAAAGAACAACTTTATTCCTTTTGTAGAGCAGCTACCATTTTTTAAGTTTTCATAAGAGAGGCATGGATTGACTATTGATGGAGGAGGAATACTGTATGGTTCAAGTGCCGGCTTAAGCTGTGCCATGTGATCTGTGGGTGTTGAGCTGATGATCAGATGGGTAAGAGCTGTTTGGTTTGTCCCACAAGCCAGCAAGCAGCTTTATAGCATTCTGGTTTCTTTAAGTAATGAGAAAGAACTACTTGGTTGCTTTTGAGAAATTGATTTATTTCATTGATTTATATACCACCCCATTAGTGCAATCCACTATTCTGAGCAGTTCACAAAATAAGAAAACCAAACAAGCCACAATAAAAGCAACAACGACAAAACCATAAAAGGAAACAAAACAAACAAATCCATTTGGTCATCAAACCCCACAACAGGCTAGTGTTCTCCATATGATGACGGCAGGGCACAAGACAAAGAAAATTCAGAGGAGTTTGTACTCAAAAGTGTCGCTGAAGCTCAGAGTCTAAAGCAACCACTTTAAAATGGGGTGGGAGGGGGCCAGGCACAGCCCCACCAGGAACCAATTTCAAAAGTCTGGTGCCACAATCCATTTGGTCATCAAACCCCACAACAGGCTAGTGTTCTCCATATGATGACGGCAGGGCACAAGACAAAGAAAATTCAGAGGAGTTTGTACTCAAAAGTGTCGCTGAAGCTCAGAGTCTAAAGCAACCACTTTAAAATGGGGTGGGAGGGGGCCAGGCACAGCCCGATCAGGAACCAATTTCAAAAGTCTGGTGCTACTTCTCATTGCTGATTTTCTAGCCTCCTTCGGTGTGACCACCTGGAGGGGCATTGTCTGGGGGGATCTGGTGGCTCATGTAGATGATCTTGGGAAAAGATGCTCCAACAAGCAACAGGGTCCAAAACCATGAATGGCTTTCTCGTGAGCCGTCAAACCTTGAACTTGACCCAGGACATTACAGGTAACCTGTGAACATGGAAGTATATAGTTACTTTTTAACAATGGCAATTACCACAGTAACTAATTGCTGGAGGAGGCTTTTCAAATTGCAACGGTAGCAAGTTACTTTTCGAAAATCACTTGCCAACGCTGTGATACCCGTGGACAAACAAGACATACCTAAGACCCACTTATTTGGAAGTGAAGGGGAAATGATGCATTTCTAACAGTGTCAGATATTTGTACAGTACTTGAAATGAAAAATCAAAAAGGACAGGAAAGAAGAGGTCTTTTGAGATATGACGGTCCCAGAAAGGGATCCTAAGACCGCTAGGTAGGAGAGGAAGTCATTTTTGAAAGCTAGAAGAATGAAAGAGAGGATTTGTGGAAGGCTGTCTACACAGTCAAGGAGTAGAGGAAAGCTGTAGAGGGATTAACCCGAGGACTAGAAGCTCTGAGAACAGGGGGGGAAGTACAGGAGAATTCGGCTAAAGGTTCCAACATCAGTATAACATCTGACCAATGACCAGAGGAGAATTACTTTAAAGTGGAAATAGTGCACTTACACAGCACTCTCTCTGTGCAACTGAAAAGGTGCAGAAGTGGGTATTTGGGAAGGGGTGGAGCCCAACATCCCTGTCATAATGACTGGCGTCTCTGGGTATATCTGGTAAAAGCTCTTCTCTGATGGTCCTGGCAAGGTGCTGCTATAGTTAGAGCATGAAGAGCATTGAGCCAAGCAGGTCAGTGGGCTGAGCCGGTCAAAGGTAGCTTCGTACGTTCTTATATATGGTCCGTGCAAATGGTTTGGAAATGATACCATTGCTCATAATGTATATAGTGGGACCCCCTTACCACGGGATCAGTATCCGCTGATTCACTTATCCGCGGCCTGAAAATATTAAAAGGAAAATCCTATAAATATCTATTTGTAACCAAGCAGGTCAGTGGGCTGAGCCGGTCAAAGGTAGCTTCGTACGTTCTTATATATGGTCCGTGCAAATGGTTTGGAAATGATACCATTGCTCATAATGTATATAGTGGGACCCCCTTACCACGGGATCAGTATCCGCTGATTCACTTATCCGCGGCCTGAAAATATTAAAAGGAAAATCCTAGAAATATCTATTTGTAGAAGGAAGTTACCCGAGCTGGCCACTAGAAGGAGCCAGAGACCATGCTATACTGTATATCACACTCGTTATCAGCATCCACAGAGAGGTTGGGCTTGGAACAGTTCCCCAGTGGATATGGGGGTTCTAATGGACCCTCAGCCCCGTCTCTTTCTCTCGTAGTCAGGGTTACAAAAGGAGAAGGCAGAAGAAGTCTTAAGGCAGAAAATGCTGCTTGCGTGGACAATGGCACAAGCTACTTTTCTCCCCCTCTCTCCCTAGCTTAGCTGTCTTGCCCCACTGATCATGCAGCCAGTTTCCGAGCTGGGAGGATTTGGGCACGCAGTGGGGGCAATTTGGAAAATAACATTATTGTACCTGTCACTGACTGCACGATTGGCCTTGTGCAATTGCTTTAAGTCAGGGAGGTTCAGCCCAAAATCTCTTTGACCACAGGCAATATTACAGGGGTGGGAGTCGGGTAAACTCCTGTTCCCCCCCATGCCTTCACAGCTCCCCCATCCCGCTGCCCCATTTTCGGCCTAGCCCTCGGGGGGGCCCCAAAACAGCTCACCTCATCTCCCCCCCCCCCCCCCCCAAACAGAAAAAAACAACCCCGACGCCGCGCCTT